GTCCATTGTTTCTGTCAAAGAAAAGAAAAGCACCCAGACGTTGTAGTTCATCGAAAGAGACTGAGATTGTTGTAGCAATTGTGCTTTTTCCTGAGCCTGCAACCCCAGATAGCCAAAGAACATTGCTAGTCTCATTAGGGGCCATAAGCCAGTTCGAGATTTCGTCCAGCAACTGAACCTGGGTCCCCTCCAAGCATGTTGGACGTGATGTGGCCTTCATTGGTACCGGGTCTAGGGTTTTGAGTATGTCTGATTGCACTGCCAATATTGATTATAGCTGGGAACATGTACCAAGGAACAAAATCCACGTACACAAACGGTCAACTTTTTGAAGCACTTGAGTGGATAGAAATAGGCCCTGGACAGTCAAGGTACCCTCAAGTGAATTCTTCAGTTTCAACAAAGTTTCCGAGAGGTCATCTATTGTCTTGTCTGCATTCTCCCACGTTTTGCGCAAGACACGAGCTGTATAAAATTAGAGAGTAGAAATACTATGTTCCAGCAGACATACTGGTGAAGCCATGACCACTATATTCCCGAATAAATACAGCACATTCGACTGTCTGCTTTACAATGGCAAGGACTTGAGTCTCAAGACTTTTGATTTTTTGAGGCAAAGCATCTGTTTCCTCTGTGAAAGAATAGACAGACACCATGGTATCCACAAGCTTCTTGAGCTTCTCTTGTGTAGCCTGCTCGGCCTTGACAGCCTGATGTCCAGTCAGACACAAAAAAATGTGGATTATATGGCTTACCTGGTAAACCGAGGTTAAAACCTTCCAAGCCATGTTTGCGTATGGATGGATCTTGGAGGGTTGTCAGTGCTAAATGTGGAGGAGGGTAATGCACACCTTTGCAACCTCATCTCCGATACGAACAATCATATCGAGCTTGGCAATAATTACACTGAGCCCCGCCTCCACTGTCTTTATGGGTTGAGAATTCTCAAATGTTCCAGCAGCCTCCACAAGCGCGGATGCGCTTGGCATGACAGCGGACTTTCCAATATCTTGCTGGGCCTGCTGGATGGCCATGTCACCAGTAGCACTATCTGAGATGAGCCGCACTAGGACTGTTCCTGTGTGCTTTCCCGAGCCCCGATCTTCACTGGTCAACTCAAGTCTAGTGTCTGCTTACAAGAATTAGGATCAAGACCGAATAAAACTGAGGCCACACACATTGCGCATCCGAGCTCGCCAGATCCAGCAATGCTGATATTTCGGTATCAACAGCCCCAAGACAAATGTCTCTGCACCGAAGCAGGCAATCATGCCAAAGTCGCAGAGTGATGGTGGAATCTGAAGTCCTGGATCCGAAGTGGGACAAGCTAGTGGTCGAATATTCACGAACTCACAAGTTACAAAGATCATCCCATTCAGGTGTGCGGCTCCGCTTGACGGCATTTGTGCGATGCACGACTCGGCCATCCTGGTAAACCACAGCATAAAGATTGGGTGCCTTGCGACGGCTCCAAACGACTTCTTCACAGGAGTGGACTGTAACTAGATTAGCATGAGCCAAAGGCACGCTGCATGCCTTCGTACCGCGTAATGCGTAGGAAGGCATCCGAAACAACGCGGATATCAGGTCTGCAGGTTCATTAGACCATTAAATATATGTGGAATAACTGAAGCAGGGACGAACTACAGTGCAAGTAGTGTCAAAAGTCGATGGATCCCGGGTGTAAAGCCGGAGGCAGAAAGATCGAAAACAAGATCCCAAAAGGTCGCGTTGGACTTTATCGAAGTTCGGACTCGCGGGAGGAGAATACTGCGTGCAGTAAGATGCCCAGTCGCTCGGACGGGATGAGGGCGAGTGGCAGCGAGTGGTAGGAGAGCCTCGTGGGCGTCCGTGGGCGCTTGTTTACAGGCCAAACACCTCCGGATGCGATCGGGAACAAGATATTCCCATGCCAAATGGCTAGGCGAAAGCTCACCCGGACCGCTGCCCCGAAGTTCAATCTGGGTTCAATCCACGCTCCTCGTTCGTGAGGAGACGTGTTGTCACCCTCAAGACGACATTGCGATGATGTTCAGCTACACGAGGGTAACACGACAATTTGTGGACGAAATATCCTTCTGGTGCTCAGCGGCAGCCAGGAGCTAATTTCCCGGAACCAAGGCTCAGGAGAATCAGCTAGCAAAACCCAGTTTTCCTTGGCTCAGGCAAGCCTGAAGTTTCCGAGAGAAGCAGTCAAAAAGAGCTTGAGTTTAGAGGTGGGCCCTCTCGCCTTTGGATGAGCGGGATGAGCGGTGCCGTCTTTATCCGCGCAAAATAAGCCGCTGAGTACTACGCACGAGCGTCAATACGAGAACTGCCGTTGTGAAATGCGAAATGATAACGACTTAAAATATTCACGCTCCAGCCAGCTCTTGGTTTCCTAAAGAAAGAAGGCCTGAGTACAATAAAGGCGACTATTCGACCAAATTCAGACGGATGGGAAACGAGGACTTGTATCAAAAGCGCCGGAATGAGATTGTATTGAATCAACGGTCGAACATAAGCTGCAGCAATTAGTTCGTCGATCATTCGAGGGACAGGTCAACGGATTCGAAAGTAGATAGAACACACCAAGAGGATCACCAGGCCTTCCAGCGTACTCGTTAAACCAATTGACTCCGAGAAGACTGTGGTCGAGCCCCGGCTGAGGCGCAGACATCGATCGCAGCACTTGTTTAGAAATGCAACCTTAATTCGGTTCGACTGTATACGTTGAGGCATAGGCGATTTAAATTTCTTCGTGCAGTGCTGAGAGGATCAGCATGCCCGCGTGAAACAGGAGGGAAGTGATCAACGCGCCCAAAAAAAGTCGAGCCACGGTGGCCGCAGAACAACGTGCGAGGCCAGATAAAGCAGGACTGTGAATAAGGCTAGCCCCACGCCAATCCGGCACAAGATAGGGAGTAACGGAATATGCGCCTTTCAATTGCCTTGTCCGCCGCAGGAACCGGATGATCCAGTTGGCAGTGATACGTCAAGTGATGGCCAGTATCCGCTCACAGGTCGCACTTGAATCGCGATAAAACCCAGGCGCGATTCAAGAACGGCCCCAAGAAGAAAGTAGCAACCGATAAGCGTCGGGCCTTTAGATCATTCACCAGATAGAATTGCCACGAGAAGAGCCATATCAAACATTCCGTTCATCTGTAATATAATACTCACTCCAAATGCCAGACCAACACGCACGACTCCTCCATTCCGCCGCCTTTGGCTTCATCGACCTTTAGTTCGGCTGGGAGAGGAAAAAAGATGGGGTAAGTATGTTGTGTGCGGAGTCGCGGCGAGGAGGAGAGGGGTGGAGAAAATGGGCGCGCGGGAGACGTGGGAGGAAGACGGAAGAGAGAGGGAAATAGAAAGGGATGAGTGTGGGGAGAAATAAAACAAGAGGATCGAAAAAAAGTAAGCAAAGGACGCGATGAACGAGCGGACGACGTGAAGAAAAGAACGATAGATACGAAAGATATGCAACCCAAAGGGAGAGGGCCACGCGAGAGCGCCGCAAAGAGGAACCACGAGACAAGAACAAGAACAAATTAAAAGGCACTCACTCCTCAACGTCTCATGCTCAACAAAGCCATGCTTCTGCCACAGCTTCACGCTCCCGAGATTCGAAAGGAAACACTGCGCGCGCAGCTCGGTGCAGCCCATCTGCTTGACGGCCCATTGCGGGAGGACAACGCTGATGACGGCGGTACCAAGGCCTTTGTTGTGCCATTCGGCGCGGAAGGCGGCTGAAACATGTTAAGCAAAATCCCCAAACACAAGGAGGAAGCAAGAAAGAGAATGAAACGCACCACCGATCTCAAACACCTTGGTGCGCGTGCGCCACTCCTCCCACGCGTCGTTCACGGGCGTGAGCCGCTTCTCGCGGTCGCCCGAGTACATGAGCGTCACCTGCCCTACATACTCCTCGCCCCCGCCCGGGAGGCGCTCGCGCAGAACGGTGAACGGGAAGTACGCGGCGGGGAGGAAGGTCCCGGCGGCGTAGGCGTCGAAGAGCGCGGTGGTGTCGCGGCGCTCGCGGACAAGCCAGCGGTGGGACCCAATGGGTGCGACGGGGAAGGGCGGCCCGACGAGTGTGCGCGCGACGCGGATGTCGCTCTGCCGAGACTATCGTAAATTTCTCAAGGCATGTAAAGATAGAGAGAACGCACCAGCATAGCGATATCGGCGGGGATGTCAGAGACGCGCTCGGGACTGAGGTAGAAACGGTCGTGCGGCGCGGGCAGCGCCAGGTACGGTTCGCCCACAGAACTGAATAAAATAGGTGTGTGTGCCGAAATTTCAGCGCGTAACTCGGCAGATTCGACGGTGAACAAGTCAGCCAGGCCCTTCGTTGGGTCTTCGGGTACAGAGGGCGTTTGAGTGGGTGTAGGGGCCGACATGATTGACTGAGATGAACAGACCTGAACCGGAGGTCTTATACGAAGGTTCGGGGCCGCGTAATCGTCGAGTCACCCACGAAGCGAGCATTGGATTCAGAGTCAGGAAATACGACCGGGTTGGCTAGCGCCGTGTTCTCTTGGCTACAGACAGAATCAGTTATCTTGCGAATCATCATATGTGCGACAAACCGCTCGTTGGACGCTCCACCCCGTCCTGCCCGGTGCGTAAGATAATCATCAGTGCGAAGCGGCTGGACTGTGTACGATCCATGGCCATTGGTGTGATGCACTCATCCTCTGAGGAGGACGATGTCCATGGCACGACGTCTTGACCTCGTTCAGCACGGACGATAGTGGGGGACGAAAGCTGCTTTCAAAGCAAAGTTAAAACCAATTCCGGAATCATGTGATCGGACATCAAGTTTCCGGAGACTTGCCCGGAGAACGCCTGACTCTGGAGTTCGTTTCATACATGGCGGCCGCACTTGCGGCGCAAACTGAGATGGGAAGAGCTTAGCAGGGACAAAAGGGAAAAAAAATAGTGAAAAATGGGTGAAGGTTGTGTGAGAAAAAAAAGGACGAAGTTGGATACCACGTAACGGTGGACGAAAAAGCTGCCCGCTAGCCGAGTCGAACGACTGACCTCATCATGGACTCAGGAATACGAGTGATGCGCTCTACCAACTGAGCTAAGAGGGCGAATGTCAACAGGCTCATGGTGGGCGTCACGACGGAGGACGAGTTGAAGTCTAAGCTAAACAAAAAGGTTTCGTGACTAAGTTCAACCAACGACGAAGAGTCATCCCAACCGAGCTTGCCAAAGCAAATGTGTAGTTCTGATCCTTCATTTTCTTCAGTACTGATTGGACTTCTCCCTGTTACTATGTAGCGGTGGGGCCCGCTTGATTTCGGCCGATTCGACGTCAGACAAAAACTTGCCGAGAAAAGGGGGCCTACTCATGAGTGAAGACTTGCAATTGGTGAGAACATGTTAGGTGTATTCAACCAACCTAGCCGCCCCAGAGTTGGTAAGAACAGAGGGTTCAGGCTTCCGTATGCAGCTCCCAGTTAGCAGGTCCCCGGAAGCCAAAAACAACATTCCCGCTAGCCGATTTGAACGACTGACCTCGTCATAAACTCTTTGTGTGGATGGAATTATACTAGTGACGCGCTCTACCAGCTGAGCTAAGAGGGAGGACAGGAGAGTGTGACGCTCTGCGGATACACCGGGGTATATGCCACACATCTTCCGCCCTTTGGTTAGTCGATCAAAACTTCCGAGAATGTGTATAACTTTATACAGTGACAGGGTGGGTGTGGCGATCTGAACCCTGAACTTGTGGCGACACGGGATTCCCAGAACCGTTGTCATCTCATGAAAGTTAGTAGTGGGTGTGGCCCGACGCGACCAGTTGAAGCACTCAAGGCTTCTAAATTCTTTGAAGCGCTATTGTTGTCAATGAATTGAGACAACCAACACCGTAGCTTCACCGTGCTTTTCCGAAAGTCAATCAGCACACATACATCTCCCATCTAAATTGTTCTGGTTGAATCACACAAAGGCGCCGGCTGCCGGAACCGCATCAATTTCACACACCGCAGATGACGTGTCCACTGTCCAACTTAGCTCCACCGCAGTTCTCGTGCGGCATGGACCCCCACGTTCCATCTCCAAATCCGAATGAATCCTCTAGCTGGGACACCGAACCTCGGCTTCCACCAGAGCTAGAATGCGCTATCTTCGAATTAGCCGCGCTCTCGCGTCCGAGCATTATTCCGACACTTGTGCGTATCGCTCGCAGAGTTAAGCAATGGTACGCATTCCTTTTTCCTTTTTTGGCCGTGAATGAGGGCATACTGAGCCATCATCTTCAGGGTGGAACCCATCTTGTATCGGGTTGTAGTGCTGCTCGGCTCGCCTCCCCAGCGCCAAATGGATGGCTTCCCTCCAATTCCGCTCGATATCTTGCTTGCAATCATAGCAAAACGACCCTCTTTCTTTGCGTCTGCAGTGAAACACATTTTCCTCCAAAACGGCAGACGACCGCTACTGCGGGGGAAGCTGGAAATCATCCTTGCGTCCTGCTCCTCTATTTCCAGTCTGTTTGTGCACTGTAGCGTCCCGGCCGAATCGTTACCGTCTCTTGACAAACTTGAAACCCTCCACCGTCTGGCCGCGGACCTAGAGTTTCCTTTCAGTCCCAGCCCAATCAATTTTGACCGACCGTTCCTGCGCAATGTCACGCATCTCGAACTCCTAGGGAACTACCGTGGCAAGGAACCTCATACATTGAATCCCTCAGGCATTGGCCGCAAGAACTGCGGCTGTCCCTTGTGCCGACGAGATAGAAATGAAATGGATTGTAATCATCCTGGCGAATGCATTGAGACGGCCAAAATGCTTATAGATTGCCTTACCCAGAAATGGAATCCGACCGTGGCTAATGGAGACGAATGCGAGAACCTCGCTCTGACAAATGAAGAGCTGGATGCAAACCAAGTCGCAATACAGCCAGATCAACCCATGGTGTTTGATCCAGACTTTACCCTAACAGATTTTGAATCCGGATTCCGCATCTTTGCCTCCGAAGATTCACTGAATGAGATCCCTGCAAAGAGATATAGGCAACAAGAAGTCCCGGCTGAAATCACCTACTTCTTGCATGCACAGGTTCTACGTGCCGGCGAGTTTGAACCCGAGATCAAACTTAAATTTACGCGAGAAGTTGACTTAGTTCAAGATAACATGGCTCTTTCCCTGACCTTTGATAAGACCGATATCCCAATGACTTTTTCCTCCGCACTGTTAGGAGGACTGTTAATAATTCTTCAAAACACCCAACGAGACACCCCACCAGTGATCTGTGCCTCCTCTGACATCCTGCTACGGGTTCTAATTAAAGACAGAATAAACTCAGAAAATAACCTACTCAATCCATGCTCGCCACTGATCAAGGCAGTGATTGCGATGTTGAACGAGAGGGTTGGCCGAACACAATTCAAAAAAGTCGAACATAACCCCGCCAAGTTTTTCACTGACGGACTAAGCCGGACCGTGACAGTAGACACTGAACCTGACATCATGTTCCTCACGCCAGGAATGCTCTTGTCACAAGGCTCTCAGAGAGTATTCACAAAAATCATCCGCTCATTATGCCGGACGCCACACCGGAAATCAACCTTTACAAATTTAGACCGCATTCGCTGCGCCGTTGAGGAAGTGTCGGGGTACACACCATCTGATACAATGATATGGTCATCCATTCGATCATCCACGATACAACGTCGTACACGTGAATTGCTGTGGAAGTGTATACACGATACCTTCCGTGTAGGTGATTTCTGGCTCCACACGAAGAATCTCAGTATAAACGGCAGATGTCATATTTGCAATGTAACCGAATCTTTAGAACACATCGCTCTGGAATGCTACTCACCAGAGCAAGGAATCATATGGTCTCTCACAAGACAACTGTGGTCGAAAAAATACACCTCTTGGCCATCACTCAATTGGGGTTTGATTCTAGGCTGTAATCTGTTACGGTTAGACACAACGAGGAAACCCCGACCCGAGAAAGGAAGATTATTTGCGATTCTGGTCTCAGTCGCTTGGCAATGCATTTGGAACCTTCGAGTAAACCGGGTCATAACAAATCCCGGGGTAACATATACCATAGAAAATGTCCACAACCTCTGGTTGAAATCGGTGAACTCAGCGTTGCGACGCGACCGACTTCTCACAAACAAAGTCAAATTTGGCCCACTCGCGCTCAGAAAGCAAAAGGTGTTGAACACCTGGAGTGGATTACTTATGAATGAGGATGCATTGCCGGACGACTGGACACTCACAGAGGGGGTTTTAGTGGGTATGTGGCCTATGAATGGTGTAGGATAACCCACCAGGCCAGAGTCCCACACTGGTAAAAACGTGCGTAACGGCATTTCCTCCTGGACAAACTCACCGGCATGACTGGCTAAAATCCAGCAACACAAGCGGACAAACTTGGAATGCATCTGCAGACTTTGCTTTGTTACATTCAACGCTCCAAAAAAAAAAAAAAAAAAAAAAAGGAGCTACAATGACTCCGATTTGCCTGCCGATCTCGGCATTGGGCTTTCTCTCCTACCACATGTCACACACGCTGCGTTCAACGCCGTTGCAGAGGCTGTCCCCGGGTTGCACGCGATCGTCAGAACGAACGCACACCTTCAGTGCATCGTGTTTTTCACCGAGGAGGGTGTGAAGCCCGACTTGGAAGACGAGCGATTTGTGGGTATTGGGCGGACTGATTTCCGCTTGGACTGGATTCGCGGTGCGACCGGCGGGAACGATTACTGGGTACTTGCAGAGACCTTCATTGCCGCGAAGCGTGCCGGTCGGATCTCTCGTGCTTGTCATTTTTTGTCGTCGTTGATCCCCGCTCACGCGTGTTCACAGGCTCGTTGTATTGGATTTTGGATCAAGACAACATCGGGACTCGGGACGGCGTAGCCAATTTGGTCTCCTAGTACCCTTGTGTTCGGACGTGCTGGGGAGAACTTGGGAATCCGCTTTGACTGAAGATCAAGGTCATTCCTTACGACCAGCCATAGTGAAAAAGCCCCTGCTTGGCGCGGGTCAAATTCCGCATCTTCGGAGGCCCACCGTACGATCGAACGTTGCGTAGACCAATCGATTCAGCGCGGGTAGCAGTTTTGACAATGTGCCCAAGTGATCTTAAGTGGAACAAGATGGCATTAAAGTAGTACTGTCTAGTACTCTTGCACTTGCAGTTGGTGCGAGCTCGTGTACAGAGCCCAAATCTACACCGTCCGGTTCAAGTCAGGTTAGCTGCCTGCCGTTGTGATGCGCACTCGCAGTCGGACATTCAATATCATCATCGAACTCCCTCCGCGATACGAAATCTCCCTCCGCATTCCTGAATCGCTCGGGCAAGCCCGATACTCCGGTGGTGTATTTTGGGTATATACTCACAAATCTGGCTCCTGGCCATCAATTGACAGACGAAACTTGAACACTACTGATGCCTAGAATATCGCGCACTCGCCCTTTCTTGGGCCCGATTCCTGACGGCACCACCTGAGTAATCACCGCAACACCCAAGTGCCAAGAATTACGCTTTCCAAAATCGTGAATGGAAACTTTCTTCTTCTTCTTTAGATCCGCGCTTGAACGGTGTATGCGACAACGACCGGGGTGAAAGCATAAATTAGAATAAATAAGAGATAAGGATTAGGAGTCTAGAAGGCGCGCGCACTACCGGGACTGCAGGAGCGCGTCAGCGCTCGGGAGCGGATCTCATCCCATTCGGAAGCTCCCCACGACGAATCTACCAGTTATCGAACTTCCACGTAACGCTCGTACGCCCCAGCGCGGTGTCAGCGAGGGCCGCAAACGCCGCAGGCGTGAGGTCGATATCGTCCACCGCGCACGCGGTGCACCGGTCAACAATCTGCACCTGAATGCTGTTGTTCCCGTGCATGACGGTTGCGGTGAGCGGGACGTGACACTGCACCGTCGGGCTGGTGCTGCCGACGCAGTTGATGAGCCCGTCGCCGCCGATCACGGCGTATCCGGGGATGGTCGAGGCGACGGCGGTGAACAGGGCGCCGTTGTTGTTGATGGCTTCGCGCCCGGGGACGAAGGGCCCGCAGATGGGGTTGCTGGAGTTGGGGTGTTAGTAGCGAACGGGCCAGAGAGAGATGAGTGTCGTACCGATTGTGGTTCGGCGTGTTGCCTGGCCAGCTGTTGAGATCTCGTTAGGATACAGATCGTTTGAGATTGAGACAAATCCTCACCTGTCGTACATGATCTGCGAGACAGCAGCGGTGAAAGAGTTATCGTCGTAATAGTCTCCGCAAGCACCAAGGCCTTGGTCGCTAAAAAGCAATCGGTGAGTTCATCTGCGAAGGGCATAAAGAAACGGGGAAGAGAGTGGAGACGCGGAGTGCAAGGATGAAAGCTGGGCCTGGACACTCGCAGGGTCTTGGCAAGAGCGTACGATCGAGATGCATGGGATAGAGAAAAAAAGCGATGGAAGAATGGAACAAAGAGGCTTACTAGTAGGTCATATCTCCGGTGTGGGACTCGGTGAAGAACGCGTTGCCTGAGTTGTCGATTGCCTTGGAGAGCTCCTCGAGGTAGGGATCACTGGCACTGGCAACAGTCGAGGTCGGCGTAGCGGCCGCCTGAGT